AAAACCAAAATATTGTGAACATAAATTAGGTTGCTTTCTGTTTTTTCAACTATTAAATTGTACTTGTACAGAGAGGTACGGACTAACTTCCTGAAAGTATTTCTACACTTATTCCATAATAATGGCCCACATCTACCATTCAATCTTTGGAAGATCGCCTCGCCACAAAGCTAATAGGCAATGAAGGGTCACCTCGCCTCTCGCCATTGGCTATGAGGCGACCGCCTTTCACAACACTGCTAAGGCCCCTTTGAGATTTGAAAAAATCCTTCCGTTTTTCATTGACTAAAGATTGTTATGTGGGGATCGTTCTTACTTGAAGGGTTCTTTTGTCTTTGTTCACTCTTATCCATAATCCATCTACTGCAAATACATGCACTCTCATAATTAAACACAGATTTCCGCATAACTTAACCTGATATTAGCAGGGCAGCGTTTATTGAGGTCAAGCAGTTAGTGTTAGATAGTTTGAAGTGTCATTGTCCCAGAACGGAAGGCAAAGTAAGTCTGAAGGTTTTATATAAAACCCTTGGTAAATTAGGCCTTCCTGGGTGAAGTGACTAAGAATACTGCAAGTATCAAACTAGTGGCTTGTTGTATCATGAAGATTATCTATGTTTTTCCCCAATTCAATAATACGGCCTTTTTTTTTCTTTGATGACAAGTGAAACCCGCAACCGCTACCCTTTGGGTGCGCACAGGGTAAAACCCCCGCTCCTATGCTCCTATACAGCCTTTTCCTTTTCCAATCTCATTTCAGTTCATTAATTTTTCTAACGATTATGTTTGCAATTACTTTTTTTCTTGTTTGGCTAACCAAACAGTGTATTACTTATGCAGGATTTCAAGCTGAGATTGGTGTTGCTAAATGTTACACCAAAAAACCCTAATAATTAGCTAGCTTTAAACTCACATCCGTGAAAGTTTAGCTGGATCAAAACCAAAATATTGTGAACATAAATTAGGTTGCTTGCTAATAATTAGTTCAACTATTGAATTGTATTTGTACAGAGAGGTACGGACTAACTTCCTGAAAGTGTTTCTACACTTATTCCATAATAATGGCCACATCTACCATTCAATCTTTGGAAGATTGCCTCGCCACAAAGCTAATAGGCGATAAAGGGTCGCCTCGCTTCTCGCCATTGGCTATAAGGCAATCGCCTTTCACAACACTGCTAAGGCCCCTTTGAGATTTGAAAAAATCCTTCCATTTTTCATTGAGTCATTGACTAAAGATTGTTAAGTGGGGATCGTCCTTACTTCAAGGGTTCTTTTGTCTTTGCTCACTCTAATCCATAATCCATCTATTGCAAATACATGCACTCTCATAATTAAACACAGATTTCCGCATAACTTAACCTGATATTAGCAGGGCAGTGTTTATTGAGGTCAAGCAGTTAGTGTTAGATAGTTTGAAGTGTCATTGTCCCAGAACGGAAGGCAAGGTAAGTCTGAAGGTTTTATATAAAACCCTTGGTAAATTAAGCCTTTCTGGTTGAAGTGACTAAGAACTCTGCAAGTATCAAACTAGTGGCTTGTTGAATCATGAAGATTATCTAAGTTTTCCCCAAACTCTGCAAGTATCAACCTAGTGGCTTGTTGTATCATGAAAATTATCTATGTTTTCCCCAATTCAATAATACAGCTTTTCCTTTTCCAATTTCATTTCAGTTCATTAATTTGTCTAACAGTTATGTTTGCAATTATTTTTTTTCTTGTTTGGCTAACCAAACATTGTATTTCTTATGCAGGAATTCAAGCTGAGATTGGTGTTGCTAAACGTTATACCAAAAAAAAAAAACCTAATAATAAGCAAAATGAACAGATACTACCTTTAAACTCCCATCCATATTTGATAGCACACAAAAGTATGAAATTAGGGTTTAACAGCAGAAAAGCAGGAAACTAGGGTTGAAAATAGAACCTTTCAGCGATATAGCTGAGCAACTTGTCGCTGCCAAAATACTCAAGGCTGAGATCAACTAATTCCCCGTTGCTACATTCCACAGCTCGACCGCAAATCTTCTCCAAATCATCCTCCCTGTCCCAGAAATCGGCGCCGGCATTCTGCATTTTCACAACTCGCCACATAGCTGGTTCATGGCACAACCGACGCCAAGTTGAACACACTTTGTCGGCGCTCTTCAACATCTCAATCGGCCCAACCTTTTGAAGGATTGACGATGTAATATCCGGCGGCAATTCCACCCACGGCGGAGCAATTGAATTTTCCATATCTTCTGCTTCCATTTTGGAATGAACAGTTTGGTTTCTATTTTGAGTTAATTTGCCCTAATTAAAAAACTCCGTTTTGGACAAAATCGTCTTTTTATCATTTTTCTAAAATTGTTATTTATTTAATTAATTTAAGTTGATGAAATTGTAATTATAAACACTAATAATAGTTAATCATTAAATACATCTTTTCTTTGTTTAGGTTTAATTTAGGTTAGGATTCACATTAAGCTTAAAAGGTTACTTTTTACTCTTTTAGATACCTATGAAAAATAAATATAGCATTATTACGCAAAGTGATTTCCGTTAATTCGATTATTTTTTTTTCTCTCTGAAAAGGTTTTTTATCGACTTTTGTATTGTTGATATACGTTATTGACTTTTACCTATCTAAAAAGTTACATGTAAATGTATAAAATATGTATAGTTAGTAAATAATATATGTATATTTTGGATAATAGTTACAAATATTTTTCGATCAAGTTAGAAGATGTATAATATATGTATAACTAATACTCTTATATAATATTTGTATATTGCCTAGGGGTTATAAGTATTTTTGGCCGAACATCCAAATATGTGAATTTACCCTTAATTTAATCGTAAAAAATAATGACAAATTGTAAGTATTCTTCCATTCTTAATTAGATATTTTAGATTCCAACATTAGAAAATGAAGTCCACTTTGGTATCTAAATTATTGTTGTAGTTATTGTTAGCAACATTAAAAGGAAGTCATTTTGATTAAAAGGGATTTTGTTTACATATACAAATATTTCTCTTTGAATTGATCTAGGACGTAAGAAAAAAATAAAATAAGCAATGTTGAATTACAAACTCATATTTTTAATCTATACTGCTCGTATTGTACTTTTTAAAAATATAATTGCACTTGTATTAAATCTTCCAATAATGCACTATCTTCAAAGAATTTGATATTTAAATAGTTCGAGCGGCGTAACTTTTAACTATCATAGTAGAAGTCAATAATCTCTTTGAGATTGAGTTGAAACAAAGAAGAACAATCATTTTGCATCAACCACAACATATGCTCAAACAATATAGCATCCACATCAACAAAAATCACTTTATTTTCCTTATTCTCATTCACTTTCCTTCTATCTTCTTTCTTTTTCACCATTTCAAATAAAATCTTAAAAGGGCTTTGTTCCAACACAAATGGCTCCACCAAGAATTCCCTCTTATCTTTTCCGACCACCACTGTCACATGATCAGTAACTGTATTTCTACAACTATTTTTAAAGAGTAGTTGGTAATCCAATTGGATTGAGGAGCGCCTTTTCAAGTTTGATACCGGAAGAAATATGCAGTTCATAACGTGCCCTTTGACTCTGAACTCGAAAAATAGTATATTTTGCAAATTTCTTTGTGTTATGAGGTTAAACTTTTCTCGAAGGTGTTCAACTTGATTATATAATTGTTATTTTGACTGATGGAAGAGTTATTGAGAGGTATATATATATATATATATATATATATATATATATATATATATGCAAACAAAATAAAATAAAGTACTATATTTGGTAGGAACTAACTAGGAATGATAATTTATGTAGATTAATTTCAATGGTAAAATTTTGATGGAAATTGAACCGTTCAAGTGAAAAGATGGTAGGATTATGCAATGTAGCAAACAATTTTGACAAATAGTAAGGTCCATGGAGTAGGCAATTTGGGACTCTTAATTTCATCAATTGTTTATTATGTACCTATCCGGACATAAAGTTTTTTTCATGAGTTAAATACGTATAAATATAATGACGAGTTTAGAGCATAATCTACAAATTTATAGGGGAGTAATCACTTTTGCCTATCCAGATCCTATAGGTATATTAAGAAATTCATTTAGTAAAAATGAAACTTAAACACTGAACAATGTCATGTTGCATTATGTGACCGTCTTTGCCTAAAAATTGGGTTGTCAAAAATGACACATATAACTCTTTTACGAGCTCTTTTAAGTGATATGACGCCCTTTCTCACCATCCATAATGTCCGCCCCCCACCCACCCAACACACACACACAAAAAGGTAAAAAGTTTGGTTAAAATTAGTTTAAATAAAGTTGAGTGCAACGCATTATCACACAAAGAAATGGATATATACTTTGGAGGGTAAAGTTTCATTAACTTTAATTTATTAGTTTCTTATACTCCAACTAATTAATTTTGGGCCAATTAGCAATTGCAAAGAGTTGAGTTTCAGCCAAATCAAACACTAGCAAATTTTACTTTAATTTAAGCTTAATTGATTGGTACACATGAATGCATGTAATGACCAAAAATCTTGTACACTAATGCTGGTCAAGTTGCAATTTTGGCAACATCGACAACATATTCAGTGTAAGATAAGGGATCACGGGGGGGTGGAGTTTCAAATTCCACGAGTGAAGTCCTAAAATATTATCAAGAAATTTCATTTGTGCACTAGAGCACTGGCCTTTGCCACTTCAAACGGGTGCAAAGGGATCACGGGGGATGGCTTTATGATCAGAGAAAGATAAGGGGCGTGGTTGGTGGGGGACAACTCCCCAAATTCACATAAAAAATCACCATCATGAGCCTCCGTTACCTTTTGGGAGGCCTACGTCCCATAGAAACTGTCTACTTGAGACGACTGTCCCTTGGTCCAGTGTACCAGTAAGTGATGAAAAAGATCAGGGTAACTTTGCCTTCTCGGCAAGTCTGACATGATATGTGCTCTATAAATGCTTCGTATCAATGCAGACTTAGCTAAAGAAAGGGCACAATATAGAAGACAAACTCATAATAAGAAAGAAAGCACTATTATGGCAGAGTAAAGAGTAATTGCATTAACAGTTAACACCTAATCTAGTAGAAAGTTTGGAAATCCAGTTGGTTTGTCAATTTGAGAATAAACAAATTCTCAACCACAGGGCACCCTAACATTTACTAAGACTATAATTATAAGCAAGTTGAGGTCAAGAACTAGATCTAACACCTAAAATCTGCCCGTTCAGATTTGTGATCAGTCACGGGGAATCAAGAAGCTTTTTCACATTCCTTGGCTCCAGTATGTTGGCATACCGTGCATTGGTTGAGGAGCATTATGCATGGGTTGAGCAGCATTACCAAAAGGTCCTTGTTCGTGGCTGAGAGGGCTACCACCATTATCATCGACTGAGTCGCTTGAGCCACCCGGGGAAGGAGAGCTCGTCTCAGTGACCGGAGCACCAGAATTCAATACATTGGGAGGTGGAGTTGAGGATGGTGCCTCAGACATCAGCTTTTCCTTTTCTGGAGTGAAGGTACCCACAACCAGCTGGTAGAGAAATGAAAACCATTAGCAAGTATACAAACTGAACTCAAACATCAGGGAAAGGATGGCCCAAGGCTTTGGTCTAGTGAATAGAAAGCAACACACGATGTGAAAGTTACATACACATCACTGTTCGAGGTTTGAACCCTATCACAAACAAAAGCCTGCTACTTAAGTGAATGATAGAGAGGTGGGCTCATTTATCTACCAAGTATCGAGCCATGCGCTACTGGTTTATTCAAAAGGAAAAGGAAAAAAAATGAATGCAACGACAGAGGTAGTTAGAATAGCACCTGCACCGGAGAGGCAGCCTTGAGCATTCCAGCAACGACTCCACCCAAAACTCTACCATCTGGCCCAGACAGTGCCACACTAAGACCACCTGTTCTGCTACGGTTGCCATTACTTTCTGATAGCAAGAAAGACCCCGATAACGAGATGATGTTGAATCGACCCTGCATATAAAGAATAACACCATGCTTGATGACCAATGCCAAATAGGTATGCTGGAAGAAGACATTCAGTGTACATGCATTGATCATCTAAAAGGATATACTCTACTGACTTTTTTCTCTAATGTCAAAAGATAAACGCCAAAAAAATCAAATTTCCAGATCACACATAGACTAACTAAGCATAGCATAAAGGCAACAGAAAGAGCAAATGTCTTTAAGCTGAAACTCATACAGACCTCATACGTCACAGTGCCACCACCTATTATGGACTGCCTGAGGGTGACATTGCAGACGACTCCAGTTGCAGCTAGAATACAAACTGCCGGTGGTCCTTGCAGTGAGAAATTCACTATCTTATTTGCAATGTCCTGCAGCCAAGGTAACAAATTTGCATCATTTAGTAAGTCAACCAAAAAAATCACAAGATTGGTACTTCAATTCAAGTAACCCTTAAACAAGAATTTTGACCATGGGTAAGATAAAAATATTACGTATTAGTTATATTAGACTTCTCATTTTTAATAAATGAAGCTGTGAGTCCCACAAAATTTCTGTCATGATTCACTGCTCTTTCTTCACCTTCCTCCTCCAGTAATCTTACATCAACCTCCCACCCCCACCCCCACCCTCACCCCACCACTATATCCCATAATGCCACACTGGCAGACTCGAAATTTGCATTTTTTTTAATAAAAAAAACAACCCTTTATCGGACCAACCAATCAAATCCTAATTCTACCAACTTCTCAAAAAATCCGAAATTAATATCCATACCCAGACGGTCCTAACTATACTCTTGTCGCAGACCACGCCCAGGCCTCATTAAGCACCTCAAATCGAAGAATGGACTAAGCATTAGAATAAGGGAATGAGAAGAGTTCTGGATAATTTTTAAATTAGCTAAGTATAGTGACCAGAAATAGGACGACAGAGAGATAGAGGGGGCTTAGGCGCAGGAAGTTACAGGAGGAAAAGCAAACAAATAACTTGTGGAGGAAATTTGTAGGAAACACAACTATACCCGTAAAAAATGATAAGACTTGCACAGCTGAAGACAGATAAAGAAAGCCTTCATAATGCAGTAATTGAAGATAATAAACAACTGATGCAACAAAATATGCTAGAACCTTTTGCAAGCACAAAACTAGGGGCACCTTTTTTTTTAAGAAAAAACTTTTCACAGATAAAAGACAATTCCATAGCCCACTTTACGTTTAACCTAGCAACTCAATCACCAAGATACTACGCCACCTTCAACAATATCTGATCAAAAAAGCTGAAAAGTACATCCTCCAAGTAATACATTAAAATATTTGAGATTTTTTTTAAAAAAGTATAGATTTCCTAAAACATAAGGAGGCCAAGAAAAAAACAAAAATCAAATGCATATAGAAAGAGACATTAAGATGGAAGGACCAGGATCTAGCATATGATAATAAAAGGGAAAAAATTAATGATGATTGGAAGGAACACAAAAACGAAACTCTGATGCTGTCACATGAATTTACAACAGTAATTATTGATGTACCAACAAAGACAAAGAAAGGAGGCCGACAAAAAAATAAATACAGAAGTAAATTAATTTTTCCCTTTTCTCTCTTAATAAATTCGAAACTCAAGCATATTGCAGAACAAGAATATACAGCATTTGTAAAATACACAAGTTAATCAGAGAAAGCGAAATATGTTTTACCTCCCCGATGTGCACAGGGATCACATACGGTGTAAATCCAAATCCAACTGCACCTGCCAACCATCAAGAAACCCAATATTACAATGATGCAGGTCCTAAATTGGTAGACTTTCACTTCCCAACATTCAAACTAAGTGAACTTCGGATTAGAAGCTAGATTCATAATCCCAAATTAGAAGCTAGATACACAGTCGAAGCAATAATGAAACACATATACCTAAAGCTTCTACTTGTTTCTTAATTATTTACATTATCAATGTATACAAGTTAAATTCTTTACTTTACGAATGTATATAAGTTAACTCCTTCCCAACTTAGAAGCTAGATACATAATCATATATACCTAAAGCTTCTACTTGTTTCTTAACTATCTCCGTTATCAACGTATACAAGTTAAATTCTTTACTTTATGAATGTATATAAGTTAACTCCTTTCCCCAAATTAGACGCATAATCATATATACCTAAAGCTTCTACTTGTTTCTTAATTATTTAAGCTATCAACATATACAAGTTAATTTCTTTACTTTATGCATGTATACAAGTTAATTCCTTCCCCAAACTAGACGATGGATACATAATCATATATACCTAAAGCTTCTACAAGTTAAATTCTTTACTTTATGAATGTATATAAGTTAACTCCTTCCCCAGATTAGACGATGGATACACAATCATGTATACTAAAGCTTCTACTTGTTTCTTAATTATTTATGTTATCCATGTATATAAGTTAAATCTTCCCAAATAAGAAAGCTTGATACATAATTGAATCAATAATGAAGACACATGTATATACCTAAAGCTTCTTGCTTTTTCTTCTTTCCGGAGCCCGGTGGCCTCCCACGAACCTTCTTAGAGGAATTCTCCAAAGAAGCACCCCCATTAACACCACCAACGCCAGAATCAGCCTGATTCACCGGAATTTGAGCAATTGGAGTAGCAGAAACACCCGAACCGTTGTTACCATCAGTTGAATACTTCCTGGGGCGTCCTCTCTTCTTCTTAGCCCCAGCCCCAGCAGCAGCTCCAGCAGCAGCAACAGATGATCCATCATCAAGAAAACTGGAATTTGGGTTTTGATCAGAAACTGAATTGAATGGAAATTGAAGGTTAAGCTGTTGTTGGGGTTGCTGAAAAATGACATTTGTAGGTAAAATGTACGAGCTGAGTTGTTCTTGTTGGTTGGGTAGGAGTTGGGGTGGTGGTGGGGTTGGTGGTGCCACCGCCATTGTTCCATGGCTATGTGGTGGGGGTAGGGGTGGTTGTAGAAATTGGGATGGGTGGTGTGCAAATGGGGATTCTTCAGAATCCATTGAAGAGAAATGAGTTCACTCTAAAAAAAAAAGTACCAGGAAGAAGAAGAAGAAAGGTATTTTCACTATTCTAAAGAAAAAGGAGAAAGGGGAAAAAATGAGTTTTATTTGCTAATTTTAGTTTTAGGGTTGTTTCATTAAATTTAGGTTTAATTATGTTTGACTATATATTTTCAAAAAAAATTACGAAGTTTTTGCAAGAATTGCTTTTGTTTTGAGTGATAGATACTTTCGCAGTCCACTTTTATTTGTCATGTTACGTTTTTTAAAAGTTAATTTGACTAATTTTCAAAGATAAATTATATTACTACATTAATTTGATATTTAAACAAAAAATTTAGATAGTCAAAAACTATACAAAAAGTGTTGTAAATTGCAATTTTTTCATATCAATATGATGAAAAAATGCATTGTAAAATGTTAGTTAATTTTTTTATAGTTTGACTCTAAAAAGGAAATTATGACAATTAAAAACAGACTAATGTAGTAATTTTTACCCCTCCAATTAGTTATTTTATCCTCCCTAGACAATTTGACCAATTTTGAAAATTTTGTTTTTTTTGTTTTTGATAATTATGATGTTTGAATGAGCTTTGCGTAACTTGACTAACTTCATGAATATTTATCATTGTATTTATGTTAGAAGTTTTCAAATTTTTTGCACAAATTTCCCCTATTTCTAGTGATATTGAATAATTACCTCTAAAATTAAATACATTCTTTTTACCTTTATTAGAGTTTGGTCATATATTTTGAATTAGATTTTGAAAATTATGTCTTTAAAATGTGTTCAAGTTTTGCATTATTGACCCTATTTCGGGTGATATTTACTATTTAGTTTTTATCCCTCAAATTGATTTTTGCCTTGCTTCTCGTTTAATGATAATTTATGGATCAAATTATGACCTAATTTTGCAAGGCAAACGTTTAAAGAATTTCCGCCTTGTCAGTATAAGTTGTGCAGTATCTTACTCACAAGATTTAAGTTTAGAGAATTTTTGTGGGTTCTAAACTTCTTATCACAGTTGTTCCTCAACTCAAGAAAAAACAGCTAAAAGGTACAAGAAACAAAGAATAATAACAAACAATCAAATATTAACGGTACAAAAACTATAACAAAATAATATGATAATCAAGGTACAGAGAATCAACAGATAGTAAATAGAAAGCTACATAAATAATAATTGACTACTAATATGAACATACAACAAGGCAACACACTACTACCTATTAATCTGCTATCATAATTTGTATCTTACTTACCCTTCTATCTAAGGTCATCTCTTCGGTAAACTGAAATTGCATCATATTTAGCCTAATACTTCTTCGGTCTACCTCTACCTCTCGTGAAATCATCCATAGTCAACCTCTCAAACCTTCGCGTGGAGCATTCGTGCATCCCCTCTCTACTTGTCCGAATTATCTCAACTAACTTTTTGCATCTTGTGATCCACTGAAACCACTTCCACCTTGTCTCATATATCCTCATTCTAATCATATCTCTCCGAATATGTCCACATATCCATCATAACATTTTCATTTATTCAATTTTCATCTTCTAAATGTGAGAGTTCTCAACTTACAAATATTTCACCACATGCAACATAGCTAACTATCACTCTGCAGAACTTTACTTTAAATTTTGATGGAACATTAATTCTTATCACATAAGACTCTGGATGCAAGCCTCCACTTCATCCACCCAACACCGATATGGTTGGTGATATTGTGTATCAAGCCTCACTTCAGCGTCAACCTTATTTATGACATCACTAAATTTGCATTCGAAGTATGTTGTCTTGACCTTACTTAACTTGAATCCTTTAGACACCGGGTCTATCTCCAAACCTCCAACTTAACGTTAATTTTACCACGAGTCTTGTCAATCAAAACTATGTCATCAAATAACATACACCATGGCATCATATTCTAAAATTGAACTTATGATTTATAAAGCATAACTTGTGTCTTGCAAATTTTGCCTTGTTAATTGTATTTGTATTTAGGGATGGCAATAGGGTGGGACGAATGCGGGTCGGGACAAATTTTACCTTATGCGAGACGGGACGGATTTTACCTTAATTGTATTTGTTTTAATCAATACCAGTGCATATGTTCAAATAGGTATTCAAATTTGAGCTTTGATATAAAAAAAATTCTTGTTAAAAACACTTTTCTGTTAAATGAATCTTATGTAAAAAAAACTTAAATTAATTAAGACCCCAATATGATACCAATACTAAATGAGAAATCAAAAATAATAAATTCACAAGTCTCCCTTAACAACTTCAATTTAATAGGACCAATTATAAATAGGATGAGTACTTCTCCCTATCTTAGGTGTGTGATACTTAGTTATCCTACTAATCCATCCTCACCAATTCTTTGATTGACTAATTATAGTATTATACCAAGATAATTGATTAGTGTATAACCAGTGGCGGACCCAAGATTTTCACGAAGTGGGTTCAAGATATAAAAATATACCTAATATTATTTGTAATTTTTATAAGGCTAACACATACATATCTGACTATGACTATACTAAACAATGTTAATACATTTGGAAAAAAAATTACATTGACTTATGAATGAGACGGTAAATAACAAGATGAACGAAAAACTAGGCTTCAATATAAACTAAGAAGATAAAAGAATATTATGAATGATTTCTCTTCATTCAACATTTAACAAATAAAAACAAAATATAAAACAAAATAATTATAACCTTAATTTCATAATCGAATACATAGAAATATACCTAATATTATTTGTAATTTTTTGTTGATTTTAGAATGATAAGGGATTTTTTAGTTGAAGAAATAAAAAATAACCACAATAATCATATATGTATATATAAAGACTAGAATCAAGAGCGAAAAACATACTTGATGGATATTGACTATTGATGCGAGATTTGAGAGACGGGGAGAGTTTTTTTCCTTCAATAAAAAAATATGCTCAAAATTTTGGGGGGAAAAGTAAGAGAGGTTCAAGAAGATTTCAACAAAGAAGAAGACAAAAGGGTTTTTAGAATTAAGAATAATAGGGATATGTGCCATTTTAGTTGAGTTTTTTTTAAAAAAAAAAAAAAAAAAAAAAAGGACAAAAGTTGTTAACTATTGGACTTTCAATTGTAAAAGTAAAAAGTTGTTCTACTTTTTATAGTTTCTAAGTAACTAAAAGGACAAAAGTTACACATACATAGAGAACAAAACTGTGTGTGAACATTTTATATATCAAAAAAACAAATTAAAACTAAAATGTGGCAATGGGGATTTGATCCCGGGTTGGCTGGGAAAATTGAACCCCCTCAACCACTCGGCTAAGCTTCAGACTTGTGTTAGTGGGTTCAAAATTTAATATATACATAAAAAATTTTAAAAACTGATTAAATATATATATATATAAACCCACTTGAACCACTGTAGGTCCGCCCCTGAGTGTAACCGACATTAAAATTGAAAGTTAGGTTTATTTCCCTCTTTTATACTTCTTGTGTTAGTACAATTAAGATTCATTTGGTAGGCGGTATTAATTAGAATAGTCCTAGATTCAATGATATCCCCCAATTACTACAGAAAGTTGAAGTGGATGAGCTTATTTTTTTAAAAAAAAATATTATTAAAGATTAAAATAATTGAGCAACTTTCACATATAACAAACATAAAAATCATATTTGTATGTTATAACTATAGTTTGCATAATTGCACTCCATAACAAATTTTATGTTTGCTATGGAGCTTTTGATTTGTATAATTCGCTACAAACATCCAATTTTATACAAATTGTTCAGTTTTGTATAAATTCATTTATACATTGTAATTTGTATAATAAGATCTGTATTTATATAATTATAAGTGTATAGGACGAAAACAGATGTATTTGTATTTGTATATACACTTTTCTCTCGTTTTATACAAACAAAAACACATTTTATACATTTTATACCGAAATGTATAAAATGGTTAATTGTATATCGAATCAAATGGCCAAAAAAGGGGATGTTTGCTGTGAATTACAATTAAAATAAATTATGACTATAACATTTAATTTGAATTAATAGTTTGATATTTCATACAATTTTCCCAAAATAATTTCTATAATAATATCTTATTATATATTAAAATAATTTCTGCAAATTATTATTACAAGTTAAATTCTTTATGATATCAAGGTATATAAGTTAAATTTTTTTTTCAAATTAGAAGCTAGATACATAATTGTAGCAGTAATGAAGACATATATACCTATAGCTTCAAATTGTTTCTTAATTATTTAAATTATATGTGTATACTAAGTTAAATTCATTACGTTATCAAGTATATAAGTTAAATCCTCCCCAAATTCGAACAAAATCATTTAAACAGATACATCGAAGAAGAAATTACTTTCTTAAACTTCGTGTAACTTGATCGAAATTTATCTAGTAGATGAATTTTGAAGCACAAACTTTGTGAAAAAAAAATTAATTCATTTCCAGGAACCAGACAAGATACAATAATTTTTTTGGAAAAATATATGAAACAAACTATAGCATAAACAAAAGGCCTCTTCTTAGTCCTCATAAAGAACTCACCACAACAACAAAGGATTAAAAAAGAAAAAAGATAATCAAGCTTTGCCTCATTTCCAAACTAGGTGGTGTCAACATGAAACACGAGAAATCTTTGGGGGTCGCCCATCCTAGTACTATACTCGTCCAAGCACATTTAAAGTCATGACTGGATCCGGTGCACAAGTGTTGGTATGATTACATCCATCAATATAGAGCTATTGTTCAACGACAACCTCAAACTCACGTAAGTTGTTTCATCTTAGCACCTAATCTCATAAGAACCAGCTTTGGTGATATAACGAACCCATTCAACTGTGTTGTAGCCACTCTTCTCCCACACCTGCACAAAACTAACTATATGAAGCTGGATACATACCAAAAGAACAACACTATTGAATTGTAAGTTTGGGAAACATACCTTGAGAAACCGAACACGTAATCC